TGTGGCAGTACAATTACTTTCTATTTTCTCATTTTCATAGCCTCTTTCTTCTGCTAGTCTGCCTCCTCTAATGTTAGCTTCCACTAGTAAATTTGTATAAAGTTCAAATACATAATGTAGGCGTTTTCATGACAACTATGTTGATACTTGAAAGGCTCTCTTTGCTTTTGGAGATAAGCAGTTGCTGGAAGACTTTAGTGTCCCAGTGAGTGGCGTGCACTGACCCTAACCTAACCCAATGCTTCTGTACGCTGTTTGTTTTACTTCAGGACCTGTCGGAAAAACTTGCCGAACAAGAATTAGAGTTCCGTCGGCTCAGTCAGGAGCAAGTTGACAACTTTACTCTGGATATAAACACTGCCTATGCCAGACTGAGAGGAATCGAACAGGCCGTTCAGAGTGAGTCTTTGGGCCTCTTAGATCATTATGAGGATAGTGGAATGTGTGTATCAACATGAGGGCATACAGATGAATTCACTGTAACAAACTTTATTCATTTGTTAGAAAATAAGCCCGATTTGGTAAATTTGGAACGTAGAGTAAACTGAGAGGAAATTTAAAAGAATCTAAAAATTAAACCTAAGTAAGTTGACAGACATGAGCTCACCATTTACGAGGCAGTTTACCCAACAGGCTTTGGTTATGTCACGTGTCCTGATGGAGAAAAAGGTCAGTGTGGTCACGTGCTTGTCTCTAGGCTGTGCTGACTGCCTCCAGCCCAGTTAGTGTCTCTGGTCGTGGTGATGTGCTGCTTCCACCCACCAAATGGACAGTGGTTATGCTGAGGCCTCCACATACCACATTGAAAAGGAAATCTTCACAATGAAGATGTTGGTAAACGGGTTTCTTTGGGGTGTTATGGAAGTTTTTTGTCAGAAGAATAGTCCATTAAGTATATTTGAAGTCTTCCATCCCTTTTTGGGAGGCTTTTGGTGGCCTTAGCATAAGTCTTAGCCTAATTTAAATGTTTCCTTCTCACACATTTTTACAGATAAACATCTGAATTAGATGTCAGCACTGTCCTGGATGTCACAGAAAGGAGACCAGGTTGTGCTTGTGCACTTGTATCTCAGTTTTCTCCAGGGCCAAGTCCTCACCAAATTGTCGTGGCTTGTTGCCTCCCCTGAAGGGGCCAGCCAGGAAAGAACACTCAGAAATAAGTGGTGGGTGGGTTGGAGGAGGCTTTGTGCCCCATCTTCCCATGTGTGGATTTAGCTTATTGAAGGCACATCATTTCTCTGGATGTATGAAGAGGATATTAGTTGAGTGGAAAGAAAAATGTTTCTCTTTGCCTTTGTTTTCTTTCTAGGTCATGCAGCTGCCGAAGAGGAGGCCAGAAAAGCCCACCAACTCTGGCTCTCGGTGGAGGCACTCAAGTACAGCATGAAGACGGCGTCTGCAGAACTGCCCACGGTCCCGCTGGCTAGTGCTGTCGAGGCCATCAAAGCCACCTGTTCTGATAGTGAATTTGCCCAAGCTTTAACCGCAGCGATCCCTCCCGAGTCCCTGACCCGTGGGGTGTACAGTGAAGAGACCCTTAGAGCCCGTTTCTATGCTGTCCAAAAGCTGGCCCGGAGGGTAGCAATGATTGACGAAACCAGAAATAGCTTATACCAATACTTCCTCTCCTACTTGCAGTCCCTGCTCCTATTCCCGCCTCAGCAGCTGAAGCCACCCGTGGAGCTCTCCCCTGAGGATATAAACACTTTTAAGTTACTGTCATACGCCTCCTATTGCATTGAGCATGGTGACCTGGAGCTGGCGGCGAAGTTTGTCAACCAACTGAAAGGGGAGTCCCGACGAGTGGCGCAGGACTGGCTGAAGGAAGCCCGGATGACTCTAGAAACTAAACAGATAGTGGACATCCTGACAGCATACGCCAGCGCTGTAGGAATAGGAACCACTCGAGTGCAGCAGGAGTAAGGCCTAGAAGTTTTGTCAGAGGAAGTCAACAGTAATACATGAAGGGTTAGCAGCAGGGTCCCAGAATTGTCTAGAAAGGGGCAGTTACAAATGCTGTTCTACATGTTAACACCTGTGGCATTTATATTATTTCCACTTGCTATCATGTCAGTGAACTCCAGGAGTACTTTCTTTGCAACTTGTGCAACATTTTCTGTTTTTCAGGTTTTACTGATCAGGCTGTGAGCCAATCAAAATGATGTTTGTGATCCCTATTATTACTGATTTTGCCCCTGGAGCAAACTGAATAAAACAGATGAAAACTGGTAGCTTATCTCTTTTCAAAAAGTATCATTTCTAGCCTCTGTGTATAGAAATTTCTTTGGGAAGCAGCAACAGCAGAGGTAGGAAGTCCTGTGCACGCTCCGAAATGCAAGGGTTCTTGGCGGTAAACTCATTCCTGCTGGTCAAACCCGAGTGATGTAAAAGCCAAAATGCCAAATATATTTAGAGGTAGATCGTTCTAGTGATTAAAAGGCACTAGAAATTTAGGGTGCCCCCCTAAAATGTATGCATATTTAATAGCTGATAATTTTGAAAATGAACCATATGTTAATAAACGCTTTATAATTGTTCAAACTGTATACATTTTTGGGGGACATCCTGTAGTACATATCCCAGACTTTTTTGATTGGTATCACAGGAAAGTTGTATATTATTTTGGGACCCAACACACACAGTGTACCACTTAGTATTTGGCTGAGAGGCATTTGTAACTGCCTAAGAACCAAAGGGAAAGGGGCTGAGTCAGCAGAAACTTCCAGGTAGCCAGATTCTTGGAGTTGCAAAGCAAGATCAAAAGGCTAACCTGCCCCATCTGTCCTTCCACTCATTTGCTTTAATGTGTCAAGGAGCTAATGACACAATGCACATGAATGCATAAGCAGCTTACTGAAACCCCCACCCCCTTGTCCCTCAATCAGATGTCTTAAACTGACATTCTAGGAGAAAACACGAACCAATGCTTACATTTCTGAGGACAGGAATGGCTCCTGCCTAGTGAGGATGGTGGAAGGGATCAGACAGGAATACAGTGCAGTGCCCATGAATAGCAGTCCTGGAGGATAAGCATGAGGTGCTCACCTGTGAGAACTCCGGGGGTGGGGGTGGGGGTGGGTGGGGCCTCAGTGCATCTGGGAGCCAGGTGAGCAAAGCAGCCTGAAGGCGAGAATCCCTTGTGAAGGTAAGCACACTTCTTCAAGCCTCAAGTTCATGTCAGCTTCCACATTTCAAAGTTATGATGGTAAGAGGTGCTAGAAGTAGAGGCGAGCCTAACTTGATTACAGCAACACAATCATGTCAAGACATTTCAATCTGCTTGTCAGGACAAGCCCATTCACTCATTCATTCATTCACTTCAGAGAGAAACATCAATGATGAAATGGACTGAGCCCACAACCCAGGCATGTGCCCTTGACCAGAATCGAATGTGGGATCCTTCGGTCTGCAGGCCGACGCTCCACTCACTGAGCCAAACTGGCTAGGGCAGGACAAACGCTTTTACACATTGTGATTACAGCACAGCTTAAGGTGCCCGCAGACAAAACGAGGACGAGAGAGAAAGGGGGAGATGGCACACTTGTGCCAGCCCCGTCCTGGGGAAGACTGGCAAAGGCTTATATAACAACTAGAGGCCCGGTGCACAAAAATTTGTGCACTCGGGGGGGAGAGGGGTCCCTCAGCCCGGCCTGTGCCCTCTCACAGTCTGGGACCCCTCGGGAGATAACGCCCTGCTGGCTTAGGCCTGCTCCCGGGTGGCAGAGGGCAGGCCCAATCCCTAGATGCAGCCCCTGGTCGGGCTCAGAGCAGGGCCGATTGGGGAGTTGGGGCGCCGCCCCCTGTGATGCACAGAGCAGGGCGGATTGGGAGGTTGCGATGCCACCCTCAGTCACGCTCAGGGTAGGGCTTCTTGGGGGGTTGGGGCACCGCCCCCTGTCACACTCAAGGCAGGGTCGATGGGGAGGTTGCGGCACCACCCCCCGTCACGCACAGAGCAGGGCCAATCGGGGTTGGGGCGCTGCCCCCTGTCATAGAGCAGGGCTGATCAGGGGGTTGGGGAGCTCCCTTGTCATTCACAGAGTAGGGCCGATAGGGGAGTTGGGGCACCGCCCCGTCACACACACAGCAGGGCTGATCAGGGGGTTGGGGCACCACACCTTGTCACACTCAGGGCAGGGCCGATGGGGAGGTTATGGCTCTACTCAATCACACACAGAGCAGGGCCCGTGGGAGGGGGGAGGGGGTTGGGGCGCCGCACCCTGTCACACACAGAGCTGCAGGGCAATCAGGGGTTTGGGGAGCACCCCCCTATCAGGCACAGAGCAGGGCTGATCAGGGGGTTGGGACGCCTTCCCCTGTCACGAACAGAGCAGGGCAGATAGGGAGGTTGTGGCCCCGCCCCGTCACACACAGAGCCGCAGGGTGATCAGGGGGTTTGGGTGCTGCCCCCTGTCACGCTGATCCCAGTGCCGGGAAGCCTCGCGGCTCCGCTGATCCCAGTGCTGGGAGGCATATTACCCTTTTACTATATAGGATAGAGGCCTGGTGCACGGGTGGGGCTGGCTGGTTTGCCCTGAAGGGTGTCCTGGATCAGGGTGGGGGGCCCCACTGGGGTGCCTGGCCTGTCTGGGTGAGGGGCTGAGGGTGAGGGGTGAGGCTGGCGGGTGACAGAAGCTCCCAATTGCTCCTTTTTTTCTTTTATTCTGGGCCAGCTTTAGCTCTGAGGCTCCAGCTCTTAGGCCTCTGCTGCTGAAAGCAGGTATCTGGTTTGTTTCGGTTCTATAATCGAAACAATGTGTAACTCCAGCTCTGAGATCCCAGCTCACTGAAAGCAGGTTTCTGGGGTTTTGTTTAGCTTCTATATTTGTTACAATGTTTCAAACTGCAGGCTCAGAGGCTGGGAAGGCAGGTGGGGAACGTTGGTTTCCTCGTCACTGAAGCAAACAAGCCTCATGTTAGTTTCAAGCTGCCTGCCGCCATCTTGGCTGGCAGTTAATTTGCATATCACCCTGATTAGCCAATGGGAAGGGTAGCGGTCATACGTTAATTACCATGTTTCTCTTTATTAGATAGGATAGGATGATGGAAACATATACACATGGACATTGGTTATTTATTTACAGCCTTCATTTTCCCAGCTGTGCAGCCTAAACTCTTGCCATTGTCATTTAATCAATTCTAAGATGTACAGTTCCCCTCACATAAATATCCCTGAAATTGGGATATTATTAACCTAGTAGCAAAAGTGATGTAATTGTAGGCAGACCTCCTTTAGACACCTCTAATATAAGGAAATACCAGAGTCACAGCATCAGCTGACAGAAGCTCAAGTTCAGAACAGGCAAATGAACCACACCAATGAAGCAGTGTGAGGTCGGCAGGCAGGCCCCACAGGGGTGCAGAGATGCTGCGATCAGGAACTATGCACCTCACAATGTGGATCCAAAGAACTGAAAATGGTAGCACTGCTGCTGCTTCTGTTTAAACCATAACCTTGAATGGTATCAAATGAGGACTATAACCTTCAAATAGGTTAGTGTTGTAGCAACTGTATTTCAAAGTTCACCAAACCTATATCCTGGTTTATTTCATATCCTGGTTAAATGTTGACATCCCATGCTAGGCCACAGCTTCCTGACTGGCCCACTTTTATTTGCCTCCACTGATGTCACTGTCGCTGTCACTGCTGCTGTCACTATCGCTGTCACAGGCAGGCAGGTGTCCCAGGGCTTCCCTGTAAAAAATAAACGAGTTACACTGCAGCTCAGTCTTGGGGCCGGGAATTCTGCTGCTTCACTAAACGGTATTAGCAAAGGAAAAGGGTCCTACAGCCAAATCTACAGGTCCCCCTAACCCGTACAACACTGAAACTATTGTTAAATCGCTTGCTGACACTTTGCAAAGAAAGGAAACCAAGAGGGTAGAGAGCTATACACATTTGAACGGGCAGATTCAAATTTGACCATTTGAACGGTCGGCTCCATTCCGATAATTTTCCCTCATGGGAACAACACAGTAGCCACTTACTTTTGCTCCTGGCTGAGTGCAAAGTCAGCCATCACTCTCTGGGTGAGGCCCTCACAAACAGGCAAGCTGAAGGCACTCGCCAGCTGCACTATCTCAATGGCCTGGGCAGGGCTGTTGGATGCTTTCGCACTGTCCATAAACTCATTCAGCAGCTCGCTTCTGCAAAGCAAAGGCAGGATGTCAACATTCCGCAACTGAAGCCTAAACACCCCACTCACAGATGTATGTGCAGAATCTAGCATCTTAGAAAGTACAATCAGAAAATCCTCAACTAGAGCTTTGGAGGCAGAGTTGCATGAAGTCTCATGCTAACAGGCCAAAGAGAAAACGAACAGGCTCGCTGTGCCCTTCCTAGGGTCTGGTCAGTGTAGCCCCAGTGCTGTGACCACTGATCACCGGCAATAAACCCGCGCCTGCCTGGAGGGTGAGAGCGACCGTCCATTTGCTTGCCTATCAGCAGAGCGCCCAACTGCTGCGGCTGAGGTCCAGTGAAGAAATGCCAATCATCCCACGGGAAGTTGAGCCCATTTAAGGACGTACCCAGGCAGGCAGGCAGGCAGGCAGGCAGGCCTGTTACCTTCAACTTACCGAGGGATCTTATTATGCTTCCTGAACAGCCCCAGCATTTTCCTGTTGGAGAGGAGAAGGGAAAGGCCATGAAGGCTGAGGGACTGAAGGCAGTCCTGCGATGAGCTGTCCTTCCACCTGCAGGGGAAGCTCTGCAGGCGCACATCTGTGAGCTCCATGGCTCCGGCCCTGTCTGTTCACCATTCAGGTGCTTCAAAGGCCTCCTTCCAAACCTCATGTGTGTACCTGACAAGTTTCACAGTTAGTCTGAATGTTGCTGGAGAGAACTGCTGGGGTGTGTCTCTAGGCAGCTAGAAGACAGGGTGCACTAGCGTGTGACCTCGTTCCTCTCTTGCCATCCAGTAAGAGTCCATGTATTATAAAGTGACGTATGAAGAGCAGGCTCAGATCGAGGCATGTCTCATGTACGTGCTCGCCACCGCACTGCCACATGCAGGACGGAGGAGAAACACGTACACTCAGCTCCCATAACTCAGCTGAGGTCCGTACCCCTGCGCCAATCATCACAGCCTGATTCATAGCAAGTGTCTCAACCTGCCTGAGGGTACAGATTTGAGTGTCAGTGTCTGGCCAACAGCATCGCAGGTCATGTGATCCACGGTCCTAAGACCGTGGAGGCAGCAGGCCTTCCCCGGGTTTTCCTGGAGATGGTGAACAGCCATCTGAACTGACAACTGAGTATTCGTTCACATTAAGTTCCTTTCATGTGCTGAAGCAGTGCACACAGTATGCCCCTCACTAACTCTCATAACTAACATTCACATCCAACCAGGATGACCCCTACATAGGATTCTTCTGCTGACTCCTCCGCAGAAGGTCTCCAAGCACAAACACTGACATTAGTGTGGCACAGAGCAAAGGCGGGCTCTGGTCAAGGCATGTTTAATACATTCGGGTAAACACCACTGTCCTGAAATCCCAGTCCGTTTTAAGCTGGGTGGTGGGCGAGCACCCACAGCTCAAATACGTGAATAAACCAAATGCCCAAAACACTTTCAAAAATACAATCCATTCGTCACTTTACTCTATGGAAGTGGACAGACAAGTGACTTACTTACCCAGACAGAAAGGTCATAATGGAAAGAAAATTACCCCCTGTCCTCTCTTTATCACATAGAGTGAGAAGTCTTCTTCCAAAAGTTTGCTTTTCAGTTTTTCTGCAAGTTCCCATAGAAAACCCATTTGACTCCTGATAAATGATACATCATACAGCCACATCTGAGACTCTCCTGACCAGGGTCAATGTCCTCTGAGATGCAAGTGCAGTGCTGCTGGCTGACACGCGTGGGACTGGACTCACCAGGCGTCCTGGGTCCTCCCGGCCCGGAGGAAGAGGACAGCTGTGCAGTTGAGAGCGCTGGCTGGCCATTGCGGGGCCATCTGCCTGGCATCCTGACTTTCAAAAGTAGACTTGATGTCCGCGGCACAGTCAGCGAACGCCTCCTGGAGCTGGAAGGCTGCACAGTCAGAACTGCTAACTGGTTTGATGAGAACTAAGTTCAAGAGACTCCACAGGACCAAGAACAGTGTCTGAGCAATGGGCAATGCACCCGGCCATTTGAACCCATCATATCCATAGCACACAAGTAACATGGAAAAAATAAAGCGCTGGCCCTGGGGTAAGCCAGGGCCTTCGTTCTAGACAGACATTCATTTTCATGCCAGCTGCTAACTGCCCGTACAGGAAGAAGCCACTTTCACGTTGCTGGCTCTGGACGACAGGAACAAGAGTGGCTTATAGAAATGGTGTGTAATTCACACCTGGGTGCGGATGGCAGGATGCACCAGAATGTCAGATGGAGCCAGGGAAGGCACCCCTCCAGGCCCTCAGTGTCAGAGGACAGACTGCTAGCACACATCCAATGCTGACATGACACGGGCACACACCTACCTCTGCTGGCTGTGGATCCCTGGCCATCAGCATCAGAATCTCCTCTTTCAGGTCGCTGCGGAAAGCGTGACCATATTCTTTACTATCTTGAAACAAAAAAGGAACGCAGTGGGAAGTGATCACCATCATGTACAGCCAGTCCTCTCCAGCGGACCTTTACCTACTGTCAGCTGTCATCCCTACTTTCAGTGGGTAAATTTAAGCTGCTGACATGATCTATTCCAGGTTTATTTCAGGAAAGAAATGCAGAAAACTCGCAGCTGATCTGTGTTAACAATGGATAAAAGAGCAGCGAAAGCCAGGTGCTCCCGGCATAGTGTTACCATAGCAGGCACACTACACTTGAGCTGCACCAGCTCTAAATGGAAAGATCCTATTTTACAGCATTTGAGAATTGCCAGTGACCTTTTATAATCATTAGTGCAGGCTTATGAAGTAGGAGGGCAGGGCTATAGCCTCAATGTCTCAGACATGGAAACTTGAGGCAGATAAAAAACTTACTTTATGATCAGCATCATCTTCAGCCAGTTCATACACAACCCGCTCCCTGCTCCCACAACCCCCTCTCTCCCACACACAGAGTCAGGGCTGTTTCCTAGAAACTTGAGTATCACTGTCTGCCTAGCAAGCGACCCAGTGATGAAAAGACAGTAGCAAGGGACAGCCCTTGGGGTTTGAAACCTGCACTTACTTTTAGGGTGCGCTACATAATTAGCATGGATTCTAATCTTCCCTTTGTTGTATCACACAACAGGCACATAAAGCCTAGCCTTTTCCTGTCTAATTTAGGCCATTTAAAATATATTTTCACTCATGCAATTTGATATGCAACATAAGCAAGTGATCTTGAAATAAAACAACTAATATGTTCAATTTAGTCCAAAATGGAAGTTTCCATCCCTAACAATGTTAACATGTTTGTTAATCAAAGTGCAGGACAAGGACGTGCGACAGGTCTGGACACACAGCTGAACGGACCTTTCCAAACCTGAGGAACCATGTCCAGCCTGTTGGCCACATCCAGTGCTTGGAGCAGATCCATCAGTGCCTGGGAATGGGGGAAGAAGACCTGGTGAGGAGAAATACACATACATTCAAAAAATATGAATCAGCAAAGATGACAAAAAAGACATAAAATGACGCATGAGAAGAAATCATCTTACGGAAGGTACCAGGTCCTTATACCACTGCAAGGTGACATCAATTTGTTCCATGAGACACAGCAAATTGAAGAACTTGGAACTGCAATGAAGGTGAAAGTATGTTTAGTTTAAAACCCCTAACAAGAGTGGAATGATTAAATTCCAGCATAGTTGTATGAGAATGTGTGACACAGAATTTACAAACAATTGACAAATTACAAAAAACTTCAAGTAACATGGGCCCACGCTAAACCAGGAGGTGCTGACGGTGCTGTCCGGCCTTCCCAATGAGTACCTCTGACCCCCTCTGGCCCTTTACGATGGCCTCCTCTCATACTCTGAGGCCCATAGGGAGTAGACAGAATCATATTCACTTTGAAGATTCAGTGTGAAGAGTGGATTTGGGCATACAGAAGACAATCATCACACACCTAGCAACAAGCTAATTCCTTAAGTTCTTGTTTTTATCTGTCTAGAAGAAAATCCATTTAAGAACTCTCATTGTGCCCTGCCCTGGTGGCTCAGTTAGTTGGAGCGTTATCCCATACACCAAAAGGCTGTGGGTTCGATTCCCAGCTGGGACACTATGGCAGATAACTGATCGATGTTTCTTTCAGATCAATGTTTTTCTCCCTCTCTCAAATCAATAAAAATATCCTCGGGTGAGGTTGACGGAAAAAAAAGACTGATGAAATCTTTAGGGACCTTCACTGCTATAAGTTAAAAAAATATAAACTAGGAGGGCATACATACGGGAAAAAGAATGTGTTTAATGTTACAAAGGAACTCAGTGCGGCAAACCAGCTTTACCACTGTTTAAACTTCCCAGTGCTACACCAACATGTACTGTTGAGAAGGGCTGTGCTGCCTGAAATCAGAGATGTACAGGGAGGGCCACCACCAGCCTTCCACTCGCAGGTTCACCTAAAGGTTGCACGAAGGTGCTCCATCAATGCCAAAGGATGCAGATCAACACACTTACTAATAGAAGTTTCGTCGATGATCGGGTCCAATGAATTTCCGGTTGTCTCCAGTGTTTAAAAGGCCATGTACTTGGTAAGCAAGTTCTAGATCTTTGAGAAAGGAGCACTGAAAATTTGTAGGTAATAAGCATCACTCTTAGAGATTGTTAGCAGCCAAACATCCGCTCATTATATATAAAAAAAAGTATAGTTACTCGTGGGAACATTTATGCTGATTCAACATATTACTGGTTGACAACAAATGAGATAAAAGAAATTGGGGGAAGGGGATCCCTAAACCAACCCCCAAGTTCTATAAAATTTAAAGCAAAATGATTTTGACCTAGTAACTGTATCTTTAGAAATCAATGCTATGAAAACACTAGGTCCCATGAGTGACAGATGGGGTGCTTAGTCAGCAACAGTGTACAAGCAAAAACCCATGAAATGACTGTAAACCCAGCACAGGAGAGTTAAGTAAACTGGTCCTTCCCTCCTATGAACAAACACAGCACCATGGAAATGTGCCCGTGTGTGCTCTCTGCATATGGAGGAAAACCTGGAAGGACATACTAAACTGTGAAGCAATGCTCCTCAGGGAACAGGACATGCTACTGATTCTGAAGCTGCCTGAACTTTTTCCTGTATTAGCAGGATAAAATGAAAAAATGATTTAATAACAACCAGCATCAACGTAAGATGTTACCACAGGCAAATATGAAATACTCTAAAACCTTATCTGAATGAAGGTATGAAAAAAGACAAAAAATAAGAATACAATAAACAAAGGGTAGAGATATAATGTGATTTAGTACAGATTTTAGAAAAAGAAGAGCCAAAGACATCAACAGGCCTAGCAGGTGTGGCTTAACAGTAGAGCGTTGACCCATGAACCAGGAGGTCATGGTTCGATTCTAGTCAAGGGCACATGTCTGGGTTGTGGGCTCGATCTCCAGTAGGGGGCATACAGGAGGCAGCTGGTCAATGATTCTCGCTTATTATTGATGTTTCTATTCCTTTTTCCCTCCCCATTTCTCTCTGAAATGAATAAAAACATTTTTTTTTAAATAGACATCAAGTCAGGAAGCAAAAGAATCAGGTAGAGGCCTCCTCCACCCACGCCAATCACAGATGAATTTAGGGAATGGATTAAAAGAAAAAGTTAAACAACAGTTAAACAACAAATGGTACTTACAACTTTCATGGCTGACTGAAAAAACATATCTGAAAATCAAAATTCAGAAGGGCCTTGGTTACGCTAGATAAAATATATTTTCAAGTCATTCATAAAAATCGTGGCAACAATACCAGCAATGTATAAGATAAACCCGAAGGAATAAAAACACAAGTGGGGAGGGAGCACACAGGAAAGTGTACACACATTGTGGCTTTCTCTGAACAACCACCCAAACATGACTGAGCTCAATGAAACCCTGTCCCACCAAAAGGCCTCTGATCCCACAGCCAGAAAACAAGCTCTTGGACATACCATCATCCGGGTCCTGTGGCGAGAACTTCTTCCCCACGATTTCGTTCATGATGTCATAGATCACGAGGGAGGAGCCTTTCGGAGGGTTTTCTGCAGAACAAGAAAGCAAATGGGTTTTTATCATGAGTCCACTTCCTGCACCATCAGCCAAGCACAGGACACTGAGCACCAGGTTGGCCGGGGCACCTGCTGCTACAGGAACAAAAGTGCCCACAGAGTGGAACGCTCCATCCGGCCTGGGACAGTCACAGGTCTTTGTCCATGTGCTCATGATGGAGACATTTCCCTTCTGTCGGTCTCCACTTCAATGAACAATCACAGCTTAATGTTCACTGAGGTTGAGACAGATGGACACACACACACACCCTCACCAAGAGAACATACTTAGAAAACAAACATGGCTTTTGCGAGTCATCGTTTTGTGTTCCTTTTAGATATAATCAGGCTGACAAGTCCAAGAAAAAGAAAACTACAATGAATGGATGTGGGCAGATCTTTAAAATCACACGGCCTGAGTATTAATAGGTCAGAAAATACTACAGGTGCAATATTCCCAAATATATCACACTCTAACCACATTTCCTTCCTTACCTTATTCACATGCAAGTGATCACAGTTTTAATGACAGCACAGATGTATTTTTTAAATTCCCTCAAGCATGTTTCCATTTACTAGCAAGCTAAGTACTTTACACATTAGGTGATAATATATTTTATTATTTCTTCATTATTTTAAGCTTTCTCCTGTGGGTCAATTCCTAGAAACTGTTACTGTAGGCAGTCAATTTACATACATAAGACACACGGGGGGAAAAAGAAGACAACCTGACACCCCGCCTTCAACCTACCCCAAGGTCATGGGTGTTGCTTAGGAAGCACCAGTACCACTGACCTTGGTGAGCAACTGGACCAGGGGATGTGTGATGGTACTGAGGAAGGGAGAGGCTCTAGGGTCAGTCCACTACACTGTCTTGTCACCAAGGTTGAATGAAATTTTAGAAGACACCTATTTCCAATATAAAGTCAGTTACCCGTTCCCTCCACCCTAAAATATATCAAACTTCTTTATAGGTGAGGATGCAGATTTTGTTAAATTACCCCTCTAGCCCTAGCTGGTTTGGCTCAGTGGATAGAGTGTCAGCCTGGGGACTGAAGGGTCCTAGGTTCAATTCCAGTCAAGGGCACAGATCCGGGTTGTGGGCTTGATCCCCAGTAGGGGGCGTGCAGGAGGCAGCCAATCAAAGATTCTCATCATTGATGTTTCCACCTCTCTCTCCCTTCCTCTCTGAAATCTAGAATAAAAATATATTCTAAAAAAATTAGCCCTCCAAAATACAGACAATGAAGTTCTTCTGTTTTTATATATAAAATCTATTGTAGGAGACGACTAGAATGATAATTTCTGAACCCAGGTTCTTTCTCAAGTTGGGGCAAATGAATAAGAACCAACAGACATAGTGCTTACTATGTGCCCCCAAGCCTGGGAATAGACAATGTGCACAATTCATTTAGTCATTACACCTGATGGTATCACAAAAGGAAGGTATCCAGGGCCTTTAGACAGAGCTGGTAAATGTTGGAGGTGAAATTTCAACTCAGGTGTGCCTTGCTCCAAAGTCCATTCAACAGGCCACAGCTCCCAACAAGGACTGGCTGACCTAAAAGTAGGTGGCATGCCCTAACCGGTTTGGCTCAGTGGATAGAGCATCGGCCTGTGGACTGAAGGGTCTCAGGTTCAATTCCAGTCAAGGGTATGTACCTTGGTTACGGGCACACCCCCCCCCCCCCCCCCCCCGCTGATCGATGTTTATCGCTATCCCTCTCCCTTCCTCTCTGTAAAAAATCAATAAAATATATTTTAAAAAAATAAAAAAAAAAGATTGACCTTTGTCAAGGAAGCTATCACCCACCATGACCCGCTTTTAGACAGACTTTTAAATAAATAAATAAATAAATAAATAAATAAATAAATAAATAAATAAATATAAAAGTAGGTGGCAAATGGAGCCTCAGGAGTCTCCCACAAAAGACTTCAAAATATGATCAAGGTTACTGTGGGCAGCACAGTCCCACAACTTCCTGCAAGGATGGAAATGGTCTGCATCTGTATCACTGGACAAACTAGTCAGCAGTCACACGTGGCTACTGAGCACTAATGCTCAGCAACAATGGAATGTTAAATCTGATTTAATTTTAATTAAATAGCCACATGCAGTAGTGGCTATTACACTGGAGAGCAAGAGGTACTCCCAACTAAAGTACCTTCTGATCATTTCTAATTGTACACCAGCACTGCGAGCACATTTAATGACCCCCTCCTTTTACATTTCATCACAAAGGATACTACCTTCAAGAATTTTAGTTCAGACTGTAGATTAATGTGTGAATTTTCTGTTCTTAATTCACATGCATGAAGAAAGTCTTCAACAATTAACCACATAAACTTAAGTATGCTGGATCAATTTTCTACGTAAATTAATGTAACATAATGTCATACATACCATGTTGATAAAAGAGCTGAATAATATAGTGATATGTTGCAAGTGAGGGTTCTCCAATTTCAGGTGCATAGAAAAAAAATAAGAAATACGTCAACCAACCACAGCTATCCAAAATATAGCTTACTGAGGTATAATGAACTAAAAACACATTGATGTTGGTATTTAAATAAAAGATGATACATTTCTATTCCTTTGAACAAAGACATTTCCCAGCAAATCTGATTAAGGAAAAGGTGGAGAGGTATCATAAAGATTGACCACTTTTAAAGAGCCCAGACACCTATTACTAAATGTTATACCTAATGTGCTTGTGTATTATGATCCTTCACTTAAGAACACTAAAGCAGCCCGCTGGTGTGGCTCAGTGGTTGAGCATCGACCTATGAACCAGGAGGTCACAGTTCGATATCTGGTCAGGGCACATGCCCAGGTTGTGAGTTCAATCCCCAGCGGGCATGCAGGAGGCAGCCAATCAATGATTCTCTTCCATCATTGATGTTTCTACCTCTCACTCCCTTTCCCTTCCTCTCTGAAATCAATAAAAAATAAATAATAAGAAAAAAAGAACACTAAAGCATACCAATGTGAACGGATTCCCAAAACAACCTTCAATAAAGTAATTACAGAAAGTTATACAGCACATTAGCACACAGGTTCAAACACCTACTCGTGCTAGAAAATGTCCTGGGATTTAAAACTCGCTAACTGTAAGCGAACAATTCTCCCCTAAAAAAGTACCTGAAATACTAAAAGAATGCTGTAGTCTGCTATAAGGAACATGGAGACAATACGGGCACTCCCGACATGTAAATGCATATTACCTGCGCCAGGTGGATAGGGAAATCCCTACATGTTATGTAAATGGAAAAAAGAACAGTTTCCTTTTTGCTTGTGTGAACCTGAAGCTTCTTGTCAGCACTATCTTGGTCACTAGGACGCATCCTCACCTATTCCAATGGCTTTCATTTCACGTAAGGTCTGCAAGGCTGGCGATTTTCCAAATGCATAAAATCTTCGAAGACATTTCAGAATGGTATTAAAAGTCTGTAGATTTGGTTTCACCTTCTGTGCAACCATTTGTTTCAACAGCTCCTAGTTGAATTAAAAGCAAGTATTTTTTTTAAGCCTGGGTAGATAACTTGTCCAATAAAGAAATACTATATACTAAAAAAGAACTTGGCTCTCTGACTATATCTAAAGCAGGTTACTATATCCCTAATTTAAGAATTACCCATCAGTGAGTAGGAACAGTGCCAGTCACCCCACCTCCACCTGATCAAGATGTCCAACTGTCTTTAGCCCTCTGCCCAGGAAATCTGAGACTCAAGCAAAAAAGTAGACTAAAAATTGGACTGTGCATTTTTCCTTTTGTAAGTGAGTTGTATGGTATGAAACATGTTTCTACTCAATCCAGCAATTTCACTTTTATTAAACTTGATAATAATTTTTCAGATAATATACGTTATTACTGTAATAAAAAACCTATTACGGGAAATAAATGACTAAAGGAACCTGGTCTTCCTGAATTCTAGCTGTATGCGCTGGACAAAGTAACTTCCCTCTCACTGTCAGACACAGGTGACAGGTAGCAGGGTTGCCAGAAGGCGTGAACAAGGAGCCACCCCCTGAGAGTCCAGTGACAACTGCCATGAAGATGCTCAATGAATGCTGTCTCCATCCCACGTATTTCTAGATATTTCAGGCCTATGTACAGAAGACACAAGGGTTCCTCCTTACCAACATATTATTCCACTTCTCATCAAATTTCTCATTCATCACTGCTGTTGCTTCAATCAATGAATTGAAGGTGTTTACATCGGCTGTAAAAGAAAAAAAAAATTGGGGGTGAAGATTAACCCTAAATCACTCAATTTAAGGCAAACTGATCACGCATGGGTGGCTCCTGGTTCATTATGACGTGTCCACAAAAGTAGAAAACTACTCTTTCCTGGCTTTCTACTCCTGTTTCAAGCATCAATATCACAGGAAAAAATTAAAAATGACATAACGGATCAAGACCCAAAGATTTTACAGATTCTTGAGAGAAGCAAAGGAGAGGAGAATTTGCCAAACACTGACCATGGAGTCTGTTGTTTAATAATTCGGCATACAAGTTTAGTGCCTGCACAGGAGCTCGGTGCTGGAAGAGGAAAAAAAAAATTAAGCTTCATCAAATGCATTCATTCAAGAAATATTTGCAAGTCTCCTGGCCTGAGGTTTGGGAACACAGCAGTGAACAACACAGATGAGGCTCTAGATCTCATAAAGCTCATGCTAGTGCAGTGGCTCTTGGCAAGGGGCAATCTCTTTCCCAGGTCCCAGCACGGCCTGCAGATGTTCTGGGTTGTCACTAGTGAGGCGAGGCGAGATGTACCCTGGCGTGCAGTGGAGGCCAGGGAGCAACAAAGCACCCTATGACAATGCACTGGACAGGTCCCACACCTGATAGTCTGGCCCAGTTGTCTATAGTTCTGAGACTGAGGAACCGATTGAGTGGAAATTAAGATAAAAATATAAACACAGCCTTGGCTGGCATGTTCAGTAGTTAGAGCATCGGACTGCACACGGCAGGGTCATGGGTTCAATTCCAAGTCAAGGGCACGTACCTGGGTTGTGGGTTTGTTTCCAGCCCCTAATCTGGGAGGGAGCGTGTGGGAGGCAGCCGATCCATGTGTCTCTCTCACATCAATGTTTCTCTCTCTCTTCCCCTCCCTCCCTCCCTTTCTCCTTTCTACTCTATCTGAAAAGCAATGGAAGAAATATCCTCAGGTGATGATGAACAAAAAATAAACAAATAAAACAAATATTACCTTCACCATTCCTCGAATCATTGTGCAGTAGGAATGTGCATTTTTCTCTGGCATTAAGGCGAAGATTCTCTCAGCATTGTTTTTTGCTCTAGGTATAAGAGAGTGAGTGTGAACCAAGGGAGAAAGGAAAAGCAAACATCTACCACAATCTATTGAGAGTTTACAATGTTCCAGACACTGTGCAAGCACTTTACGCATATAATTTCAAATAATTCTTGTCACCCAGAGAGAGAGAAATGGTTTTCATCATTTTGAAAATGAGAAAAACTGAGGCTCAAAGACCTTAAGTTGTCCAAGGTTTTGCAGTTAAATGGCAGAACCAGGACTGAAAAGGAATGTTTATGAATAAGTAATATATAGTCATGTGCTGCATGACATTTTGGTTAGCAACAGACCACATATATGACAGTCATCTTAAAAGATTATAACGGAGCTGAAAACATCCTATCCCCTAGAGACATCCTAGCATGTGCACTACTCCTGTGTTTGAGGTGGTGCTGGAGTGAACAAGCTACCACGCTCGCTGCTAGTGAGGTCAGCACATGCAATCACAGGAGGGGCTGCACCACTGAGGCTCGTGTGAGAAAGTCACCCTATTGTACACATAAGGATGAAATCATCTAATTGTAAGTGTTTCCCCACTGTCAAGTGGCATATGACTGTATACTCAAGGTAAAAGGCAACCTGTAAGGGGGCCACAGTGAATTTTCCCCGTCATCCTTCATTAGATACAATTTCCCCGAGGCAACCACAAACAAGCAGTTTTTCCTGAATCCTTTCAGTCATTTTATTGTACATGTACATGTCATGTTCTACCCACTGTATCGACTCTCCTTTCTTAAAAATATAAAAATAAAAAAGGTACCATATTATACAAACTAAGCTGTACCTCAATTCTCCCTCTTACACTATGTCTTAGAAACCACAAAGAACCAGAAGCTGAGCCAGGATGGCATTCCAAATTCTTTATTATATAAAATTATTAAAATCTACTGAAGAAATTTAATCAGTGATTCTACTTATCACTTCAAAGGAGATTTTAGACATTAACGGTAGCTTTCCTTCTCTAGATATTCACATAAAATACCGTTCTTTTATTTAAACACTTCTTTTTTTTAAAGAATTTTTTATTGATATTTAGAGAGAGGGGAAGGGAGGGGAAGAGAGAAGCATCGATGTGCGAGAACCTTGATAGGCTGCCTCCTGCAAACCCCCTACCAGGGTTCGAGCCTGCAATCTTGGTATGTGCCCTGCCCAGGAAATGAACCGGCAACCCTTTGATGCACAGGATGAGGTTCCAACCAATTGAGCCACACCGGCCACGGCTATTTAGACACTTCTATTCAGTTAATTTAAACTCTCAAATGTTAGTTAAATGTTATTCACCTTTTGTTTGGAAGTACTAAACTACATTCTGGTATATGTGTGTTCTTATGCACACAAAAATACCTTATCTTTCAGAACTGAGGTCTACGTTGTAAGGTACAATCAACAACTGATGAACTACTAAAGGAACCATACGCAGAGCAAGTTACATGAGTTAAGTGGGGAGAAAACCGAGTGTGGACATGGTGCTTTAGGTTAGAGGTAAAGATCTTATGAAAATATATTCACACACACGTGAATGCCACTTGGGACATTTATATTGCCCACTAAGAGGAAACTATATGCTAGAACATTAAAGGATTGTACCTTCTTCAGGGGTGATGGAAACATGCCTCAAAGGAAACTGTAATATAAAATTCCACTGATGTGCAACATACCTCCAAGTAACTCCAAACTGATGGCCAGCCCTTTTCTTAGATTTCTCGGTATTTTCCTCTGTGGCTTCTTCCTGAAATGAACAATCATCGACAAAAATAAATCAAAAGATGACAACAAAAAGCATTCTCCTCGTTAGACTACCCAAAATCAGGACGGCAAAGGAAACCAGAAAACAAAGGAAATACCAATCCAGCAGAAGGTGAGGAAGAAACCCAGTAAATGTTTATTAAGAAATGTGGCCGAAACCGGTTTGGCTCAGTGGATAGAGCGTCGGCCTGCGGACTGAAGGGTCCCAGGTTCGATTCCGGTCAAGGGCATGTACCTGGGTTGCAGGCACATCCCCAGTGGGAGATGTGCAGGAGGCAGCTGATCGATGTTTCTCTCTCATCGATGTTTCTAACTCTCTATCTCTCTTCCTTCCTCTCTGTAAAAAATCAATAAAATATATTAAAAAAAAAAAAAAGAAAGAAATGTGAATTTATTAAGCATAAATCAGCCCATTTACAGATGAAAAGTAAAGTTGGCATTTAACACAAGGGACAGCACCCCATGATTGCCCCGCAGAGGGAGGCCCAGGCCATTGGCGGGCGGGGTGATCAATCGGGGGGTCAGGGGAGGGGTGTTCCGTGATTGCTCCAAAGAGGGAGGCCCAGGCCACCAACTGGTGAGCTGCGATGGGTGGGCGGGACCTCGGGGCCTACCTCTTTGGGGCAATCCATTCACGGGGCTCACGGAATGCAAGAGGGTGCAGGCTGGGCTGAGGGAGCCCCCCAACCCGGAGTGCACAAATTTCGTGCACCCAGCCTCTAGTTCTGTACATAAATAATCCACATTTAGTGGATAAAAATTGGAAAAGACACCCCAAAACACTCATGAGTCCCATCATCCCAAAACAATTTGATTTTTTTCCTTATGCATATGAGAACTTTTTAATAAAAATGGAATATGCATTGTTATCTAGTCTACTTTCCCACTTATGCTCTGTACCCCCAGCAGAGCATGCCCACTCCTGTAGGATTTTTTGAGGGGGCTGTGAGCAGGGGGTCTTTCCCTGTCTGCCACACATCACACCGTCACTGTAAGTGATAATATAAGGGTTTGCAAACATTTTTGGTCAAAGCTTTGCCTGCATGTGGTAGGCAAGGTCAAAATATTTTGAAAGCAAGGGTAAAAATAATTGTTTAAATCTCTCCCTTCCTCCACATCACTTTTTATTAAAGCTACTGCACCTCACCACAGTTCAGAACAAATCTCTACTATCCTAACACATAACACAAGAACCACCTTATACTGAGGAGTTACTACCAAAAGAAACTTAGAAAATTATTGCCAAAAGCCATTACCAACTCTTCTGATTTTTCCTTTTGTTGAAAATTATAATAAGCAGAGGGCTCTTGGTCACCATAGTAACACAGTAAATCCAAGAGACTATTAGTTGTTTCCAAAGATACAGTAGTTCCTGTGGGCAGAAGAGAAAAAGGTAAAGAAATCTTGAAACATCAAAGAACTAAAGCCCATTAGATTAAAAATTTGCACTTTTTCTACAAGCTGTGGCTTTCTTGGCCACATTTTAGTATCATCCTCCACGTTAACAATGGATACACTTCACATCAACTTGAACACCTGGGATTATTCAGACAAGGCCATAATTCCTACTAATCATATGGTTTGACTAAAAGATCAAGATACAAGATGAAATTGGACTCTGTACTCACTTGTTTTATGTACTCACATCCCCAGAGAAACTACCTCATGGTTTTTAACTACCATTTTCCAACGGAACACTCTAAATTGTTGCCACTTGGTTTGGAACCATTCATTTGGATCCAGGCCCTCACTGGCTATTTGCCCAGAAATACTAGCATCAATTCTCCACCTATGCTACATCACAAGTGCACAAAACTAACAAAGCTGCAACTCTCGCTCACCTATAATTTTAAAGTGAAGCTAAAGCAGAACTTGAAATATTATTTACTAAACTATTAAAAATATAAAGTGTCCCCAAGCAGCAATGCCCTCAAGTAGCACAGTAAGCCCTGCAGCTTTTACTCACAACTACTGGGATCGTACAGCTGTTGCCAGGGGGGCTTTAATTGCACTTAGTCACCTGCTTGCAAGAGCTGATCAAACATGTCCACCGAAGCTTTGACTTTTCTGAGCTTGATTCGCTCCTTTAGGGCAGCTTCACTTACATCTTCAAGCTGAGGCTCAAAGCACTCAGGCATCAAACACTAGGAAAACAAGATACTGAAATTACTACAAACAGGGCCGGTGAAAGGACAATGGAGTAGGACAACATTTTTATTACCAACACACCGAAGTAAAATGTCACTGTTCCAATTCACATTTCATGCACCAAATAGTATTTATCACTTTAACATGAATATCTTTGCGGGAATACAACTTTAAAATCCTTTTCAGTCCAGGAAACAAGCCTATTTAGCTGTCCACTAGCTGGGGAAGAAATATTTAAAAGCACCTCAACAGAAATATCTAATTCATATCCAAAGAATTCTACTTGAACTAAATTTTCCAACAAGCTGAACTTATTATTTTCCCTGCTAAGCCATCCTATCTCCTTTCCTCCCAACCCTTTTAAAAAATATAGGTGTTTCCATTGATTTCAGGAAGGAATTGAGAGGGAGAGAGAGAAAAAAAAAATCGATGAGAGAGATCATTGATTGGCTACCCCCTGTATGCCCCCCCTACAGGGGATGGAGCCTGCAACCCAGCCACGTGCCCTGACGAAATCGAACCCAGATCTCTCCATGGGACGATGCTTAATCCACTGAGCCACCACAGCCAGGCCTTTCCTCCCAGTCTTGGTTAAGTGTCAAAGTACAGAAACCTTTCACTCTTGATGCTTTCTTTTAAGCTTTTAATATCACCAGGGCATGCTGATTTTTACCACACACAGTAACTTATCCAAATACTTATTGAATGCCAACTACTTTCCACCAGATATTGGGGATATAGAAATGAAAGTCATTCTCTACCCTCAAGGTGCTCACAAACTAATCAAGAAAGCAAATACTATGTAATAAAAGCCTAATATGCTAAGTATCCGGTCATCTGTTCAACCAATCAAAGCATATGCTAATGATATGCTAAAGCCGCTCAACTGCTCACTATGACGTGCACCGACCACCAGGGAGCAGTCGACCAGTCTCTATGACATACACTGATCACCAGGTGGCAGATGCTCTGACCGGTAGGTTAGCTTGTTGCTGGGGTCTAGCCAATCGGGACTGAGCGAGACAGGCCAGACATGCCCTGGAACCCTTCTGCGGCCCCTCCCCAGCTGGCCAACCTCCCACATCCCTCCCTGGCCCCGATTGTGCACCAGTGGGATCCCTCAGCATAGCCTGCGCCCTCTGAAAATCCAGGACCCCTCAGGGGATGTTGGAGAGTTGGTTTTGGCCTGATGGTGGAATGACCAGTCCCTATGATGGGCACTGACCACTAGGGGGCAGACGCTCAATGTAGGAGCTGCCCCCTGGTGGTCAGTGCGCTCTCAGGGTGAGTGCTGCTCAGCCAGAATCCGGGCACGGGCTGGTGAGCACAGCGGCGGTGGCGGGAGCCTCTCCCGCTTCCGTGGCAGCACTAAGGATGTCTGACTGCTGGCTTAGGCCAGCTCCCCATGGCAAGTGGGCCTAAGCCAGCAGTCAAACACCCCCCGAGGGCTCCCAGACTGAGAGAGGGTGCAGGCTGGGCTGAGGGACCCTTCCCACAAGTGCACAAATTTCATGTACTGGGTCTCTAGTAAGGAAATAATTACGACACAGTGTGAATGGTAAACAACATAAGAGATCCCAGGGGTGTGAGAGTGCTGCCCGCCACAGAGGCAAGGGACCATGGAAGGCTTCAAGCAAAAGTGATCGAAGCACAGAAGGGTAACTGTTAGTCAAAAATATAAAGGGGAAAGGGTGAGCCAACAAATGATCAGTTCATAGCTGCCAGCATCTTAGTCCAGGATTTCAGCCTTTTCCCTACACAACCACATTGGCTTCCTAATCTGTCTCTAAGAGTGCGGCTTGAGAAGCAGGAGGGCTCTGTTTGGGTATGCGTGTTTTGAGAAGCAGGGAGACGTCGGAGGGAATGCTTCTGGACATGATGAATCTGAGGTTATAGTTCTACTAAAAAACATAGGAGGGCAGAGGCACATTTTTGCTCACCACTGTACTGACAGCACTAAGCACAATGTCTAACATACAGCAGACAGGTACTGCACAAACACTCTTCATGACTATAGAACAAAGAGGTAGTTGGAAATACAACTTGGAGTTCAACGTAGAGGGATCTAGGCCCGATATACAAGAATGCCAAATAAAGTATAAGGCTTGAAGCAAGAAGAGTGTAGACAAAAACAGAATATGACTGAGCATGGAAACTGAAGAAAGACAGCAATGCTTAAGGAGTGGATGGAAAAGCGACAGAAGGAAACCAAAAACGAACAACCACATAGGTAAAGATCAGAAGCCAAATTGGGAAAATAAAAAGAAGAGCAAATACATATAGGCTAAAAGAAAAGTTAGTATTGCCTGGCTGGTGTGGCTCAGTGGTTGAGCATTGACCCATGAACCAAGAGGGCACACACCCAGATTATAGGCTATTCCCAGTAGGAGGTGTGCAGGAGGCAGCCAATCAATGATTCTTTCTCATCATTGAAGTTTCTCTCTCTCCCTTTCCCTTCCTTTCTGAAATCAATAAAATAATATATATAAAAAGTTAGTATTGTGAGCACAAATAACTACACATTAAAAGACTTTCCCCCCCATATACTGAGGGCATTCAAATGGTTCCTCAAATATTAGCCATAGAGCTTGGTTAAATTTATATTTATATAGTATTATCTGAAAATTGCAATTACCTCTCCTTACCGGTATGTGAGGTTCAGCTATGTCTTTCTGAAAATATTTGGGATGTGAATTAATAATAAACTTTGCTGCATTCTCCCCAGACTTCTTTGCCAATAAAAATGAACGCTATATAAAGAAAAAAACAACTCAGATATAAATTGGTATTTACATGCAATTTAGATTCAAGAGATCAAAGTCACATCCTTGGTAAGACTTATTATTCTCCCCCTTAAAAAGGAATGCATCAATACACAGAATCCCAATTAGAAGTTATATTACACAATACACATCCACCTCTGCTGAGTGTGACATGATTTCATGTCATGTCTTATATACATACTAAGGCACATAAAAACAATGCATTCAACTGAGAGGATTGCTCCAGAGTGAAAGGGCCTAAATATTACCCCGCCCCAACCAGTTAATCTCTAAAACGTTTTTAATGAAGTAGTAAAGGCTTCAAAAAGTTTACCAATTTAGGTTTTTACAACTAAGTTAAATTATATATGCACTCTTGTACCCAAACCAGCAAGATAGAACATGATACTTGAAAAACCACATGGAAGTAAGTACTCACCGATTCCACAGAGGAGGTTGGTATGAGGTAAGGATCATCTTGAAATGCATAAGGGACAGCTGTGGTATCCTGTGGAGAAGAGACAGAAGGCTCTTTAGCTACATTTTTATGAAGAGGACCTGACCTGGTGAGTTTCACTGATGTCCAAAAATAAAATAAATTCAATTGTACATGTAAAACAGTGCAGTAATATGTATGTGATTTGTATTTGTACGTGTGTGTGTGCCTGTATGTGTGTCGAGAAAGAGAGAGAAATGGACTAATGGTCTCTCAGCTCTATAAGACATGGTTCTAGTTACACACAATTAAAGCAAACAATTCTTCAAACCCCCACAACTGCTTCTTAAGATCTGAGTCTGCTTTCAAAAGGGAGTATTGTTGTTTTAAACTCTATGTAAAGATCCTCTAAACCAGTGGTTCTCAACCTTCTGGCCTTTAAATACAGTTCATGTTGTGACCCAACCATAAAATTATTTTCATTGCTACTTCATAACTGTAATGTTGCTGTTATGAATCGTAATGTAAATATCTGCTATGCAGGATGGTCTTAGGCGACCCCTGTGAAAGGGTCGTTCGAACGCCAGAGGGGTCGCGACCCATGGGTTGAGAACCGCTGCTTCTAAACTAACTAGTTGGGGCACCGGTTTCCCACATGAGTGTTTCCTTCAAAGCAAGGTCACTACTCAAAGTTCCGCCTCTAAATGGAGGGTCCTATTAGGCCCTCTCGGATGGTGGAATGAGCAGCAGCTCTCCATGTCCTCTTGTCCAGGGTTCTATACTTCAACTCCAGCGCACCAGGGGCTCGCTTGGAACAGCTCCCAGATTACTTCCTCTCCCCCAGAGCATCCTTCCCCAGGCCTCATGGAATCTTTGTTCCAGAGAAAAACATTCACCCTAGATACTGAATCTTCTGCTTGTCCCCTTGATGCCTTGTCTTCCTGACATGACTTCTCTGAGGGCTGGGGTGGACGAACTGGTGAGCTTCTCTGCAGCTCTCAAAGGAAGGCTGCTCATACCAAGGGCCTGGAGGCTTCCTGCTGCCACCTTCAGAACCGTATTCCTTCCCACTCCTCATCTGAGGCCCATTTCCTCTGGCTATGCCACTCTATCACAATGAGACAGGCACGGAAAGGTGAACCAGAGGGAGCAGTTCCGGTTTGCTGCCTGGGCCACCCTGAGCATGCACACTGCTGCCTGGCATTGGCTCTGATCCTCTCCAGCACCCGCAGTATTAAAATACCTGTCCAGGGCCTCTGGTTTTGGTGACATGCCCAATGTCTTTTTAACTTACTAGACTTATTCTATTTGTCTCCCAGTTTTCCTCCCCCAATGATTTCCAAGTTCTTCATGGTCTCTGAGAAACAATTCTAGTCTGGCCCTGTAGCTCAGACTTTTCAAACCAGATTTATCCCCAAATCAACTTCCCTGACACAGTTCCCGCCCTCACTGAATGGTACCTGGTACTGACCACTGCAGTCCAATCCTAAGATCTTCTCCCATTCCTTCCATTCAACTAACTCATCACCAGGCCCAACCAACTTCATCTCCTAAATATCCACCTGCTCCCCAGTCCCTTATCCCAAACGCCACTGCCTTAGTTCCGGGACTTTCCTGTTCATTCCTTCTATTGTTACTGAGCACCTCCTATGTGCCAGGCACTATTCTACCAGGGGAATGATAAACTCTCACTCCCTTATAAAGCTTACAAGTGTGTGTGGGGGGGGTGCTGGAAACCTCCAGAAAGTAAACAAAATAATAAACTATATAGTATAGCTAAAGGAGATAACTGCTATGCAGAAAAATGAAATACAGAAAGGGACAAGAAGTATCAGGAAATGATATATACTATTTTAAATGGGGTGGTCATGGGAGGCCTCACTGAAAAGGTGATATTTTTCACCTTTTCAAGAGATTGGGGAGCAGAGGAAGAGTAGATATTGAAGCCCTGATCAGATGCACAGCCACTGAGAAACCGACAAGTAGCCAGGAGGCCAGCATGGTTAGCGCAGTGAGTGAGGAAGACAGGACGGGCAGGCAGAGGTAACGTGTGTGGGAATCACACAGGGCCTAGGAGCCCTCGATGGACTTCAGCTTTTATCGTGGCTCTGGGTTCTCTGCAGAGTGCTGTGATCTACCATTTCAGCAGGGTCACCCTGGCTGCTGAACCGAGGACAGCCTGTAGGGTGCTGAGGAAGTGAAGGGGAGGGACAGAGACTGTATCAACTAATCCAGGATATTAAGAGATGATGGTGGCTTAGCTGACCACGGTGGTCACGGTGGTGGCAAGTGCTGAGAATCTGGGACTGCCATTCTTACAAAGGCCTGCTTGCAGCTGGTCCTCGGCTGGCAGCTGGGAACCTGGATTTCAGAATGGTTCCCACCATTCCCAGGACTGGTAAGACTGGGTCACTGTGCCCAAGCTGTTTGTACAATGTAGTTTGTGCTGAACCTCTGCTTCCCTCTGGGAGTCTGGAATTTGGTATGTGCCAGGCAGAGGTGCCGAAATGACCTGCCTCCCAAAAACTCTGGGCACTGAGTCCCTAAAGAGCTTTCCGGGCAGACATTGCACACGGGCCATCACAACTCTGCTGGAGGAACCAAGCAAACCCTGTGCCGACTCCACAGGGAAAACTGGGGGCTTGCACCCGGCTTCCTCTGGGCTTCACCCAGTGCCCTCCCCTTTGCTGATTTTGCTTTGTGTCCTCTCGCTGTAGTAAAACATGGCAGGAGTGGTCTTGGGGACTCCACTCACATACATTTTGAAGAAACAAAGGATTTACTAAGGTGCAGCCTGAGAGATAGAGGTCAAAAATGTCTCCTAGGACTTTGGTTTGAACAACTGTGAAGATGGAGCTGCCATTAACAGACAGCAAAGAAATGTGTGAGGTGGTTTGGAGGGAAAGGGGTTTGGCTTTGAGAATTTTAAGATCTTAATCATGCATTCAAAGGTCTCCCATCTCTACATTGCTATCTTTTCTAAAATTTGTCTGCCTTGCCAAAACCGGTTTGGCTCAGTGGATAGAGCGTCAGCCTGCTGACTGAAAGGTCCCAGGTTCGATTCCGGTCAAGGGCATGTACCTGGGTTGCGGGCACATCCCCAGTAGGGGATGTGCAGGAGGCAGCTGATCGATGTTTCTCTCTCATCGATGTTTCTAACTCTCTATCTCTCTCCCTTCCTCTCTGTAAAAAATCAATAAAATATATTTTAAAAAAAATAAAATAAAATTTGTCTGCCTCACCACTGCTTAAACACCTCAATGGACTTGGCTAAAAATCAGAAGTCACTAGAATAGCATTCATGCTTTTGTCTCTTCTCTCATTTCTGTACCTCACACATCCTTGATTCCCACCATACAAACTCATTCTATGCCTTTGGGCCTCTGCTCATGGTGCTGCCTCTATCAGGAATACCCTTTCCCAGGACTGTATCCTAGCTTCTCACCTTCCACGTACCAATCCAACCCTCAGGTCTTCTGGAAATCCTTCCCAATCCTGGTCATGGACACTCTGCAGAGTGCTCCTTCAGCTATCCTCTCTGGGAACCAGGCAAAGGCTGTGTCTTAAGTCTACAACCACAGCACAGTGCCTGGTGAGCATCATAAGGGGTTAAAGGAATAAATGACTATCCCTTGGATTTTAAGGATCCCAAGTTAGACAATTGTACACTCAATTCTACAACTTCTGGGCCATTCTCACTGAAAAGCTAAGAGCACTCTCAGAGGCCCATTTCTGTAGCTTACACTTCAGGTGCCTATTCATGGGTGAGTGAGTGGTTGAGCATCTCAATGTCTTGCTAGTGCAGAGATGCAGTCTTTAAAACCCTTCTTCAGAACTGGTAGGGAATATCAGTGCACATTTGGTCTAACACCCTGTGAGGTTTAACACCAGCAACAGAAGAGCAATTCTGGAAATCTGTGATAACGGCCTTAAGGAGGATCAGTAGTCACACAGATATAGTGACAAAAGAAAGGACTTAATTACTTTAGACATTTCCCACAGTTGGAATGAAAAGTGTAGTTTCCAGCTAATGAAAAATACATTCAAACAGAAAGTTCCATTTGTGAGGCGTTTACCAAGGTTTCAGTTTCTCTACCAGATTGCCTGCTCTATTCTTGAATTGTCAAAAGAATTCAACAGAGCAATTACTGAAAATCCACTCACATAGTTGTAGTAAGAATAAAATAGCAAGCATTTATGGAGCATTTCCTTTGTATTAGGCACTGCCCTAAACCCTTTCACATATACTAATTTATTTCCCACACCAAAAACTTGAGGTTTGGTGCTATAGTTAATCCTCATTTTATAGATAAGGGAACAGAAGCATCAAGAGATAAAGCAACTTTGTGATAAAGATCACAAGCTAGTTGCTCTGGCTTCAGGACCCACATTCATGATCACGTTTCCAGCATGGCAGGTACTGTTGTTCAGCTGGTACAGTTCACTTGCATTATAGCATCACACCCACCCATTCCCCAGGTACATGCATTTCAACAAGCTCTTCAGAGCATCAGGTTTAACAATCACCAGTACAGCATAAAAACACTAAGTTTGGAGACAAAAGACATGAAACTATGTCAAGGCTTTAACATCCCAACTAGCCAAGCCAGAAAATTTAAAAGCTATTATATTCCTCTTTGTTACATGAAGAGATTAGATTAGTTTCTAAGAGACTTTCTAGATCTGTAACGGTTTACTCGTGAATAACAAGAGGTGTGAACATTAAATGTATTAGCAGAGTTAGACACAGAAACCTGAAAGTCCTACTTACCCTGTTTACTGTGGATGCAAGAGCCTGCAGAACGGCCACTTTATCCCTAAGAATGAGAACCACAAGTTAACCCTCACCAGGGTTTTCACACTCACAAAAAGAACAAGTGATTCTCCTCTCAGAATGAGCTGGTCAATAACCAAGTTCAGGTCTCACTAAAGCCTGTTCTTACATCTCAAGATCACAAGAGTAACAAGAGAAAGCTGTCTAGTTCTTTTGCCTAAAGGTGGTTAGTACTATGCTTTGCCTACCTTCTGTACCTAGCTACCCTAAAACCATCACCCAGGGCTAGGGATTTCCACCCTCATCTCACAAAACTGTATCTATCCTGATCTTATCTCCTCCCCTCCGATGCACATTCACTGTAGCTTTCTGGACTGCTCTTGCCTTCTTTATCTAAATTGGTGGCTCTTAAATCAGCTATATATGAGAATAAATTACATGCTATACTCAAGACCTGAGTCAGAACCTCCAAGTTCCATGGAGAACTGTGACATGCATTACTACTGAATTCCCAGGTGGTTTGGACACACCCTTCTAATTTAGAATGAATGTCTCAACTATATAACCTTTATAAGAATGTCAAGCCACTGTCCACTGCACCTATGGGTACAGACCTCTACTCAACTACTGGAAAAGAAGATTTCATCAGAATAACTGACAATTTGGTTTGAAACATTTTACGACTTCTGTTAGATTTTGTTTCATTTCCAAAGGGGGAAAAAGAGTAAAATTTAATAAACCAAAAATATTTTTCTAAAAAAACTAAGCAATAATAGAAGTCATTTGAAAATGAAAGTACAGGAAATTTTATATTACATCAAGGCATGCAGATATATAATATCCATTGGGTTTTTTAATACATTTTTAAAAGTCACATTTATGTAATTTCAGCAACAAAAGATATTCTTTCACCTTTGAGCATTCCCTAACAAAACTTGCACATTTCAGTCTTATAACAGTCTCCATAACATACTAAATAAATAACATACTTCATGACATTCAGACTACTCACTAGTTCTCTCTCTCTCTTTTTAAAATGTTTTTATTGATTTCAGAGGAGAGGGAGATAGAAACATCAGCAAGGAGAGAGAATCATTGATTGGCTGCATCCTGCACGCCCCCTACTAGGGATCAAGCCCAAGAAACCTGGGCATTGAGCCTGAAACCCAGGCATGTGCCCTGACTTGAAATCGAACCGTGACCTCCTGGTTTATAGGTCAACTCTCAATCACTGAGCAACACCTGCTGGGCTAGTTCTCTTTTTTAAAGGGTTATTTTAAACAACCTCAATGAATACATTACCCTTAAAAAATAAGTTGGAACATTACAGGTTATGCTAAAGTATATGGTATCATCTTGTAGCCCTTTCCTACCCCACTCTTGAGTTTGCTGTATTTCTGGAACTTTGTACAGTACTTTTACACACACATATCACCATAAAAAACATATATTGTGATTTTGTATATATGCTTTCTAAGTTTGACTGTACTATACATTTGACTACATAGAAATCTAATTTCTTTAAATGTTACACTGTAGCCCAGCCTACGTGGCTCAGTGGTTGACCATGGACCTATGAATCAGGAGGTCACAGGTTCGATTCCCTGTCAGGGCACAAGCCCGTGTTGCGGGCTCAACCCCAATAGGGGGCGTGTGGGAGGCAGTCAATCAATCTCTCTCATCACTGATGTTTCTCTCTCCCTCCCTCCCTCTCCCAAAAATCAATAAAAACATTATAAATGTTACATTGTGCAATAACTACTTTTATTATCTACCTAGTTACTGATGGGCACTTGGGTTGGCTCAACTTGGTATTATTCTCAAGTTATAAAGAACTTTCTCATTCATGTCTCTGAAAGTATATTCAAGTGTTCCTCTAGAACAGTGATGGTGAACCTATGACACGCGGGTCAGAGGTGACACACGAACTCATTTTTTTGGTTGATTTTTCTTTGTTAAATGGCATTTAAATATATAAAATAAATATCAAAAATATAAGTCTTTGTTTTACTATGGTTGCAAATATCAAAAAATTTCTATATGTGACACGGCACCAGAGTTAAGTTAGGGTTTTTCAAAATGCTGACATGCCGAGCTCAAAAGGTTCACCATCACTGCTCTAGAATGTCTAACCTGTAAGGTATACACATTTTAAATTGTGATTCTGGCAATTTTCCTGCCAAGTATTGTCCCAACTATATATGTTGACTGCCCTATCAACAAACTTGAGCACCCATTTCTCCACATCCTTTCATAAGCCTAGTTACCTATATATTGATCATAACTGGGCTCCCTGCTGGCCCTAAAATAACTATACAATTCAGATTAGCCTGTTCAGAACACTGCTTTTATAATGTCACATTCATTATGAAAACTCACAATGACTCTCTATAATCTGTCAGGGTTTTCTGTGGCACCTGAAGTGCTCTGGGAAATCACAGCCTCCAATCACGCTTCACCTCTAAAATAGGGCAACAATAACTTGTAGTCCTTATGGCTTCTTCCAAGTCTAAAAGCATCAATCCCTGAGCCTGGAATTCAGAGGCTCTCTATCAGAGAACCTCTATCAATCACTTTTTTGCAAAGGGACAGACAGTAAATATTTGAGGCTTATGAGCTACAAGGACTCTGTTACAACTATTCAGTTCTGCCAGTGTAGCATCCAAAGGGCCACAGAGCATGTATTAGCAAATGAGTGAGGTTGTCTTCTAAAAAATTTTTAATTGACACTGAAATCTGAATTTATGTAATTTTCACATGTAATAAGTCTTGTCTGTTAATCCTCACCTGAGGATATTTTCTTCCATTGATTTTTAGAGTGAAGGGAGGGCGGGCTAAGGGAGGAAAAGAGAAACATGGATTGGTTGCCTCCAGCACGCAATTGGCCCAGAAAGGCCCTGCAACCCAGGTATGTGCCCTTGACCGTGAATCGAACTAGAGACCCTTTGGTGCACAGGCTGATTCTCCCATTGAACCATGTCAGCAGGGGCTAAAATAGTCTTATTTTGACTTAACTATAAAAAAATGTAAAAACCATTCTTGGCTCATGAGCTGTAAAAAAATTGGCCTTAGTTTGCTGAACAATGCTCTGTATCAACTCTTATTTCCCCTATTCTAACAGAGCATTTCACAGGCCTGCCGGCTTGGCCTCTTCCCACATGACATGATCTTGTTTTCTGTATCTGTGAGTCTCATACTTAAGGATTCATGAGAATTACTCCTAAGAATATGCTTTATAAATAAAATTCCTAGGTGACTCTGATGCTAATAAAAGAATCTTATCCGCTTTAAGACACAGGTAAATTTCTACACTTTTCAATCAAACTCACCTTGGTTATTGCAATACAACCCCTCTTGATTTATATATCCTGTATTGCCTTTAATCATGTGTATAAGTTATGTACACAAGTAATATGAGTATAAAGTATAACTATGCATAGGATTGGAATAGATCATAGGCCATCTGAGCAAACCCTCCAAAAACTTTTTGTATTCCCTGAAGTAGCTTCCTCAGGGATAGAGGCTGGTAAAATGCTTTGAACTTGAATGTTATTCAGGAAAATGACTCATTCATGGATATGTTTATTTCTACTCTTATCTTGGTTCTGATTCTTGTGCCAGGGAAGACAGAAATAAACCTCAATATATTAAAATACTATTAGTAATTAAGTTAAAAGCAGAGTATAGAACAGAACACTTACCAAATCAATTCTATTAAACTAAATACATACATATAATTTATATAAAAAATGTCATACCCCAGAACTTTAAAATAAACAGCTATCATCTACAGAGCTCTGACAATGTGGCAGGCATTAACTGAATGCTTACTTAATTCTTTGAGGTAGGTACTGTCATTACCCACATTTTACTGTAGCACAGATTAAAATAATTTGCCTCTGAGTAGTGTGATTACTAAAAATCTTGTTTCCTTCTGCGTGTTCTATTTATCCCAGACACCTTTTGGCAATAACCATTAATACTTCTGAAATTTAAGAACGTTTTTTTGCTTTTTTTTGTTAATCCTCACCTGAGGATATTTTTCCATTGATTTTTAGGGAGAGTGGAAGAGGGAGGGAAAGATAGAAAGAGATGTGAGAGAAACATCAATTGGTTGCCTCCTGCATAAGCCTCGATTAGGGCCAGGCAAGGGAGGAGCCTTTAACCAAGGTACGTGCCCTTGACCAGAATCAAACCCGGGACCCTTCAGTCCACAGGCCAATGCTCTATCCACTGAGCCAAACCAGCTAGGACTTTTAAAATTAACTTTAGTCTTCAGGTCATACTCAGAAAAGATCTGGCTTTTTTTAGGGAGCTTTTAAACACATTCAGTAGTATCATTACTATAAGAATTTTTGTGAAGAAGTTTTAGTTCTTATGTATTCAATAATTCTTGAATAAGCAAGGCAATTTGCTCAAGGATCTATGAGTTAAAAAAGCTAAATTTTGCAATCCACTTCATTCATTTTATTTTAACTTATTCAAGACCATAACGATAATTTTGTCTGCTCTCCCAACCATGAGAATTCTCTTAAAAAATTATTCTAGCCCTAACTGGTTTGGCTCCGTGGATAGAGCGTTGGCCTGCGAACTGAAGGGGCCCAGGTTCGATTCTGGTCAAGGGCATGTACCTTGATTGCGGGCGCATCCCCAGTGAGCAGTGTGCGGGAGGCAGCCGATCAATGTTTCTCTCTCATTGATGTTTCTAACTCTCTATCCTTCTCCCTTCCTCTCTGTAAAAAAGTCAATAAAATATATTTTTTTTAAAAAAGAAAAATTATTCTAAAGAAATTATTCTCATAATTACTGTTATGTAAACATTAACTGGAACTCAGTTCACAAAGTCTTTTAATTCTTAAGTAAATCTCATTCCCCATTCTCTCACTACTTTCCACCTTCCTGTTTTATTTTCTTCTAAACTTCCAAGTTTTTCCTCCCTCAACTGTTCTCTTCCCAAGAATGCTCTCCATTGCTGTCACTGAATCCTTACTTACCAACGTTTTGCTCATAATAAGCACTCAACCCCTTGATGAATAAGTACTGACTAAACACTCACCAAGTTTTCCTTTTTGGAATGACCACTTCTTCAATCCCTTAATATGAAAAATAAAACAAAGTGAATCAATTTCCCCATACTAGTACTATGAAGAAGTACAGTGTTAATACACAAATGGAAATATTTCAATATATTTCTATATACCTGTTATATCAGTTCCCTCAACCTTTGGGAGGGCTGCACTTCCAGAATAAAACCTGCAAAAAAATAAATGTCCTCAAGTTAATAATCATTAATGGAGTTCTCACCTCCACCTATGTGCACTTTGCACACAAACTTCCCAGTTTTCATGGATCAAAGTGAGATAATTCATGCCAATGTACACTGAGAGGGCATGGCCTCAACACGACATTCAAAACCATTACAAAAAAGATATAAGATATGGGCACAATATGGTCACAATTTTTTAGATGAGGTAATCACATTAAATAAAGTCAGGGGAAAAAAGGAAAATTTTAATAGCACTTAAACAATTGAACAGCTGATTTGAAATATAAGGGACTTTCAACTTTGGAAATCCAAAACATTAAAGTTAAGAAGGACAAGATAATGAGCTAATTTTATAGGACAATGTCCTAGTAATAATTAAAGTCTATCCACCTAAAGCAATTATGAAGTTATTTTCATTTCAATCCACTTCAATGAGGAAAGTACCAAATCAAATATGTATGTCCTAATTTAAACGTGGAACTTTTTTAAAATTCAAAATGTAGAATCATTGACCCATGACAGAGCTTTAAAATTTTATCACACTAAAAAGGTCAATATACCACCTAGATAATGTGCATTGTTTATCTTGTACACTGCCTTCCTAAATGGCATTGGTACCAATCAGAAAATTGTCAAGATGTGATTGGAAAATTACTTCCTCTACTGGCATCTGGTCTCAGACATCTTTTTTTTCTTTCAGTTGTTAATCCTCACCAGAGGATTGCTTTCCTGTTTCGAGAGAGAAACGTCTGTGAAAGAGACACAAACTGCATGTGGTTGTGCATGGAATTGCTAGGGGCAGAAATAGAATATTAGAAATTAACTATAACTGTAAGAAATATTAACCACGCTCTGTTAACCGTGATTATTCTTTTCTGATTAGAGAAAGCACATTCTAACCTCGCTGAGAGTCGCACGCCCCGAGACATGGGAATGCAGTCCCTGCTCCTGCCTATCTTTATGGAAAGATTTACAACCTCTGGCACACAGTCCCGGAGGCACCTGCTCTCATCTCAGTGACTCCCCACAGCCGGATGACTTGTAACCTGTAATGATTACCCCAGGCCCACTTTCTCAGATCTGTAATTCCTACTTCCCCACGTAATCTTGTCCTACCCACTGTAAGCAGTTAGCGTATGGAGGGGTGCAGAATAGATTTTTGTGGATGACCTGCTGCTCTCCCACACTGCTGGCATTACTGGAATAAACGCTCACATGATTCAACCCTGTCTCTGCTTCGTTGGCTCAAGTGGTGACAGGCATCCCGCACCCCGTGGTTGTCCCGTTACAGAACCTGCAACCCAGGTAGGAGCCCTTGACCCTAATCCAGCGGTTCTCAACCTGTGGGTCGCGACCCCTTTGGGGGTCCAACCACCCTTTCTCAGGGGTCGCCTAGGACCATCGGAAAACACATATGTAATTACATATTGTTTTTGTGATTAATCACTATGCTTTAATTATGTTCAATTTGTAACAATGAAATTGGGGGTCACCACAACATGAGGAACTGTACTAAAGGGTCGCGGCGTTAGGAAGGTTGAGAACCACGGCCCTAATCAAACCCCAGACCCTTCTGTGCGTGGGCCGAGGCATCTTTTTAAAACAATACTATTTTTGTTAAGGATCAACTCTTTCAAGTCATGCTTTTTTTTTTTTTTTTTTACATTAGGACACACGGAGCACTGTTGTCTTTGACAAGGTGAACATTCTGAGATGTCCTAAAGGTACAGCAGGCTGGAGAGTGAGAGAAACAGAAAAATCAGAGCTCATAAACTACCTTCAATTTGGAAACATCTTAAAGCGTTCTCCCTGTTCCTACTGGTTGCATGAAAAGGAGACCAAATCATTATTTTTTTAAAATTTGGGATGGGACTGCTAACAGCCATACTAACTAGAATGTTGGCTCCACGACAGAAGGATTCTAGTCTGGTCTCCAGTTGTAATTCCTGGGTGGGCCAGCCAACCCGTAAGTATCTTCCTAATGAACGCGTAGTGCTCTTTTCTCCGGAGCACGCGGCTACGAGAGGGCGCACGCGCATTCCACTGCGTCGGGCCTCGTCACACAGCTCCGGGGTGGTGGGGGGGAGAAGGGGACACACAGGATTAGGCTGACACCTGGATCTTCCCCGTGAGTTCCTCAAGCCTCTCTTACCTGCAACTAGGGGCCGGTTCACATGCACCTGTCCACCGAGCCGTCAGCGGCAGGCAAAACCTGCAGCGGACTCTCAGCCAGCGAGCCGAGGCCGCCGCCATCTTCGCTTTCTTCGCATTGCATGTCGGGAAAGCATGCGTTCCACCTTCTGGATCTCTGAGGGAGGGGAAGGTGGACCAGAATAGCCCGGCTATTGGCTGAGACGAAAGCAATCGTAAAATAGGGTACAAGCTCATGGTTTGAAACGCTTCGTTACGAAAGTTAAGTGCTCAATACGCCTCAATTGCATCTAAGAGATTTTTCTAAAACAATTATTTTAATTGTCTATATATTCGATTGTTTTCAAACTAAGAGGGCTAGTGAGAGTCATGAAAGTACCTTCCTTCCCCCCCCCACTCCCAGAGCGGAAATGGTCTCGTCCAGGTACATCTCATCCCAGCGAGCATTTCTCGCGCGCAAGCGCAGTTTAAATCACATGGCGGCAGCGGGTTCGTAGCTGTGTTGGGATTTACTGGGGGTGATTTGAACTTCTCTCTGGGTGTCAGAACTGGAAACTCACCTGGAGGATGTTGGGCTCAAAGAACATGCCCTGGCGGCGGCTGCAGGGCATTTCCTTCGGGATGTATTCGGCCGAAGAGCTCAAGTAAGTAGTTGGTGGGAAGCGTGCGGAGTTTGCCTCTTGAGGTTGGCGCCTTTATAAACTACTATTCCCGAAATGTCTTGCGTCCAGTTTATCTCCTGAGCCCTGGGTTGTCGGGCGCGCGGCCTGCCGGGACCCGTAGTTCCGAGAACGTCCTGGGCTGGCGCGCACTGCTTAGAGTTGGTGGGACTGCGAATGCGTTTGCTCTGAGCCTCATGGTATCCCACGGCTCAGCGTTACCCTCCGCCAGTCTTCTCGGTACTTAACCAGTGTTTGTGAAGTGACTGTAATGTCTCTGAAGCGGTTAGTTAAGCACATAATTAGTCTCTTGTCTATAAAATGATTATCCTTCACGACTCAGTTCAGGTTCTGTTTCTGGGACAAGTATTCTTCCTTACTTGATCAGTGTATTAACCCACTAATATTTATTGATTTTTCAGTTTTTGCCAGGCAGAGTGCTAGACGTTGGTGACACATTGGTGAACAAGGCTTTTATGCGAATGTTTCAGTCTCGTAGATGATTCCTCTTTTCTTTAAATCTTGGTGTTCCTCGCAGTTCTGTTCTTGTCCTACTGCCTTTCTTCTCCTAAATGTCATCACTTTGGTTTCACTCCAAAAGGGTACCTAGTTTAGTGCAAAATGGTCATTATTTTGTGACTGGGAAATAATTCTAGACCTGTCTTTTCCTGGCGTCTGGTTTACTTATTGGGCCCTTTCTGTGTGTCACCTACATAACTGTTTGTTCTACACCCTTCTTTCATCGCTACTACTACTACTTTAGGTCACACCCTCAATCTCTTGTTTGAAATGTCTTTTCTTTTTTATCTTACACCTGTTCAGTTCATCCTTCACATAGCTGTCAGTTATTCTTTCAAAGTGTAAATATGATCATGCTACTTCAAATGTGATTGAGGCAGGATAGGAAGAAGCTAGGAAAATTCCTTGACAAGCGAAATAAGGGAAATTGAGCAAAATAATTAAACAAAGCCAGACAATTTGAGCAATTTACAGCTAGCTAAGGAATCACCAGGTTTTATCTTCCTTGACCGAGTATACTTAGGAGCAAATGGTTTGCACATTCCAGACCTTCCTGGGGCATACCCACTAGATCTGTGCCCCTCTTCCATGATGTTTTTTAGAAATGAAACTATCAACAACAAAAAACCTGACCAGAAAATAACCCTGGCCCCTCTATAGCACATTCTGATGAATCAACATATTGAAGGACACGCCTGGAAAGCTGATGAGTATTCTATTGAGACTCCCTCCTGAGACCTCCCCTAGGATTTCCACTGGCTAAAGAAAGATAAAAAGCCTCAAGACAGAGGACCCAGCAGGCCCTCTGAGCACGCCTTTCTCCCTTAGGCTTGTATCTCTGCTCTCTCCTAAACTCTTTAGGGTCCCCAGAAAATTTGCAACCAGGGGAGCAGCAGGCAGCGGCTCGTCCCCGGGCTTCTCCCCTGAACCTGTCTCCGAGGCCCCCTTTTTCTCTGACTGTCCAGTGAGCTAACAGCAGCCCCACTCACTGATGTCACTGTGACTTTTACTTCTCAGCGAGGTCACACAGCCCATGTGGCTCACTTCTTTCCTAGAGTGTTTTTAAAAAGCCAAAGCAGCGCTGCCTACGCTCTCTCCTGTTGCTGCTTCTCTCCTAAGCCCTTCCTTGTTTCACTGTCATAGATGTACTTTCAAAATCACTTGGACTCATCCCTGCACCAGTCGAGAACCCACACACTCCTGGCTGCCCCAGGCAGACCTTGGTCATGTCACATGATCACGTCACCCGCAAAACCTCCCAGAGGCTGTGCGTTTCCCTCGGATTTGCAGAGGTTACTTTCTTTCTTTTTTTTTTTTTTTTACAACAGTAATTTACTTTTTAATATATTTTTATTTCAGAGAGGAAGGGAGAGGGAGAGATAGAAACATCAATGATGAGAATCATTGATTGACTGCCTCCTGCACGCCCCCTACTGGGAAATCAAGCCTGCAACCCGGGCATGTGCCCTTGACCGGAATCGAACCCGGGACCCTCTGATCCACAGGCTGACACTCTATCCGCTGAGCTAAACCAGCTAGGGCCAGAGGCTACTTTCTTAGCTTAGCCCACAAGTTTTGCCATGATCAGGTCAGTGCAGAGTTGCACATTCCAAAACCTGCCATCAGGTTTTAACATTTGGCCCTTTCGCCAGACTTATTTTCTCTGCATGCAATGTCCTCCTGTCTGTCTTCCCCCATCCCCGCAGACACCTGGACAGTATCTCTGTCAGGCTAAGCTCAACCTCATTTTCTAAGGTCTTTACCATGTGCTGCAGTTTGTGCTTTTTTATATTTCTGTCTCCCTCCACTAGCCTTGAGCTCCCTGTGTGTCTCATTTTTTTCATCAGCTCTGGTTGGATAAACTGGTGAGTGCCACCTCTGGTAACATTGGGAACAGTTGCTAGCCCAGAAATTCCCATTATATCATCACCAGTCATAGATACAATTTCATCCAAAAGCAAAAGTGTTTAAGTTGCTTGAATTAATAATAACAGTAATTGCAGAGTTTTCAAACAGGAAACTGCATGAGCAAATCGATATCCATTATGAACATTGTAGACTTATGTGTGTCTGGAGTTGAGAAATTTCAATAACTATGCTACCTTTTATTGTGCTGGTTTCTAATAGCTTCCCATCTCATTTGGAGTAGAAGCCAAGTCCTTAAAATGGCCTGGAAGGGCCATTCTGGTCCCTGAACTTGCCTCCATTCCAGCCATCCTGGCTTCCTTGCAGTTCCCATAGCACCATAGACACACATCCACCCCAGGACCTTCCTCCTCCTATAAAGACCTCTGCCCAGGTGACTGCATGACTTATTCCCTCATCTCCTTCAGGCCTTTGCTCAAGTTTAGTGAAGTGTGGGCTTTCCTGATTACTGGCCCACCCTGTCATCCTCTTTTCTGCCTTACTTTTATCCGCTTTCTGCCATTTAACAGACTATATGCTTATTTATTTTGTTTTTTTGTCTGCCTATCTTTCTCCAATAGAATGTAAGGCCCCTGAGTACAGGGAATCTTGTCTGTTTTCCAGCAAAAGTGTGTCTGGCACTTAGTAAGCTCTAAATAGGTATTTGTCGAGTACATGCATGTGTGGGTGAGGGAGCTGTCTATTCAGCACTTGGCACGTTCAGTTCTTACTGCCACCATTTGTGGTGGTGTCGCCAGTTACAGGAGAGGAAATTCAGCTTCAGAGAGCAAAGTGACTCTAGGAAGCAGCGAAGGTCATCCTCAAGCCCAAGTGTGTTTGTCTCAAGCTCTGTTCTCGTCAGTGGAATCCTTGCTGGTTGCCCTCCTCTCCATCCCATTCTGCCATGGTTAGGTGGCTTTCTCCTTTGCCCCAGCAAGAGAGAGGAACTTTGTTCCAAGCCCTGTATTTTACACATGTTATCTTCTGATCATCGTAATGAAGCTGCCGCATTGAAGAATTTTTAGGTGGGGGAAAAAAAAGATAAGTATTTTGTCCAAGGTTGTCTAGTTCAAGGTTGGAGTGGGCTCCAGGTTTGTGGTGAGAGACCACACATACAACACGGAGTTAGATTAAATTTCTCTTGTAACTAGCTTATCTGCAGCAAAGTGATCATGCAGACAAGAGCCACACCAACAGGTCTCCGTGTGGCCTCCCTTGGCGCTCAGTGATACCAGTCATGCAAGCGAGGGTCTCCTGGGTCTGTTCTTAGTTCTTGACGCACCACCATCATTTTATACTCAGCTCAAAAGTCACCATTGAGGCTTCATGAAAAGGAATGTTTATGTCAGTAGGGGGCCCTCTCTTCCCCATGGGGACCCATTCTCCAGTCGATTAGAGCATAGGACTTGATTCTTCTGCCAGTTAGCATAGGTCTGTGCTGGCCCCACCTGCCCACTCTTGTTCCATCATTGTAGGCTCTAGGCCAGGGAAGTGAAGTGGCATCTTACAGAACAGCTTACAGGACCAAAACAGCTTCAAGAAATACTGTAATAAAAAGTAATTAACATGACAGTTGGGTAGCATTTTTTTTCCTCCCTCTTAAATTTGGAAAGATTTTTAAAAAATATATTTTTATTGATTTCAGAGAGGAAGGGAGAGGGAGAGAGAGATAGAAACATCAGTGATGAAAGAATCATTGAATGGTTGCCTCCTGCATGCCCCATGCTGGGGATGGAGCCCACAATCTGGGCATGTGCCATTGGCTGGAATCGAACCTGGGAATCTTCAGGCCAACGCTCTATCCACTGAGCCATGCTGGCTGGGCTTGGGAAGGTTTTTAAGTGCTAAAACTTGGTGCTGGCTAAGACGCTACCGTTAGTCCACCTCTTCTGGAATGCAAGGTGCCGGATATATCAAGAGCTTCAAAATGGTTTGCACTCTTAGATTCATGGATCCATTCCACTGAGAAATGATTTTAATTTTTAGGAAATAGAAATTTGAATTATTCTATGTAAAAGTTTTTACATAGATAGGTGTCATAAGCTTACTTATAATAGAGTTTGGTTAAATGAAT